GCTTGTGGCCATGCACCCCCCCCCACCCCCGCTCCATGTCTGGCTGCCAGGGGTACACTTATTAAAAAAGGTTGATAACACCTGTGGTATACCTTGATTTTAGCAAGGCTTTTGATACAGTCTCCCGCAACAATCTCCCAGGCAAGCTAAAGAAGTATGGGCTGGATGAATGGACTGCAAGGTGGATAGAAAACTGGCTAGAGCATCAGGCTCAGAGACTAGTAATTGATGGCTCGATGTCTAGTTGGCAGCCAGTATCAAGTAGTGTGCCCCAGGGGTCAGTCCTGGGGCCAGTTTTATTCAACGTTTTCAGCAGTGACGTGGAAGATGGCATAGAGTGCACTCTCAGCAGGTTTGCAGATGACACTAAGCTGTGGGGAGTAGTAGATACACTGGAGGGCAGGGCTACAATTCAGAGTGACCTACACAAACTGGAGGATTGGGCCAAAAAAACTCTCATGAGGTTCAACAAGGACAAGTACAAAGTCCTGCATTTAGGACAGAACAGTCCCAGGCACCAGCGCAGGCTGGGGGCTGACTGGCTGGGCAGCAGCCCTGCAGAAAAGGACCTGGGTGATGCAGTGGACAGTAAGCTGAATATGAGCCAATAGCGTGCCCTTGTTGCCAAGAAGGCTAACAGCATACTGGGCTGCTTTGGTAGGAATGTTGCCATCAGGTCAAAGGAAGTGATTCTTCCCCTCAATTCAACACTGGTGAGGACACATCTGGAGTGCTGTGTTCAATTTTGGGGCCCGTACTACAGAATGTAGAGATATTGGAGAGAGTCCAGCAAAGGGCAACAGAAATGGTGTGGGGGCTGGTGGACATGACTTATGAGGGAAGACTGATGGAACTGGGCTTATTTAGTCTAGAAAAGAGGAGATGGAGAGGAGATTTAATAGCAGCCTTTAGCTACCTGAAGGGAGGTTCAAAAGAGGATGGGGCTAGACTTCTCAGTGGCAGATGACAGAACAAGGAGCAATGGCCTCAAGTTGGAGCAAGGGAAGTTTAGGTTAGATATTAGGAAGACTTTTCTCACTAGGAGAGTAGTAAAACACTGGAACAGGTTACCCAGAGAAGTGGTGGAAATTCCATCCTTAGAGGTTTCCAAAACCTGGCTAGACAAAGCTTTGCCTAGGATGATCTGGGTGGGGATGGTCCTTCTTTGAGCAGGAGGTTGGACTAGGTGACCTCCTGAGATAACTCTTCTAATGTTCTGGAGGCACAGTAGAACTTTATTTGTGACTGGTGTTCAACAAATTTGCTTATTAAAATGGAAAGAGGGAATGGTGAGGATTTGAGAGTTAGAATGGCTGACAGCTGTTCACGGCTAGTACTCGGGTCCTTAGAGGCAAGTGTAATGTATGCATTTGCTACACAAGGTTGTGAAGTAACTTGCTGCAACTGAAATAACTGTGTGTTTGTGTATCTGCAGCTGGAATTTTTTTAATGCTTTAATTCAAATATTTATATAGGAGAAGTGTTTTAGTGAAACTACAAAATGAATTGTTCAGTCCAGGAAACAGTGTCTGTCTTGAGTCATGTCCCCACCTAGGTCCTGTAAAACATGCTTTGTTTTCTATATGATTTTTACAGAATGTTTTTACTAGTATGGTAGTATGTGATTATGCAACTTTTAATTTTGAGTATCCAGACATGGAATTAAGCCTATGGAATGGTACATTTATATTTAAGCTACTCTGTGTATCTTATAGGTGTGGTTGGTTGCCCCATCTGTTGTTAGGATTGCAAAATACTTCCCATAATAACACCTTTCTTACAGTTGGCAAGAGTGATGCATATCTAAGTTGTACTGTGAACGTACATATATTACACACAAGTGATCAACTCTAAATGTTTGTTTTAGGATAGTATCTTGTATTGATTTATGTTGTCCCATAGCCCTAAGGTCATAATTCCCTTTAGGACTGAAGGAAGTTACGTACTTGCATCTTTGGGGAATACTTAGTGCTCTGTGAAATTTGTCATTTATTGCATACCTGTAGCATGCTCCCTGTCCTTTTCTGACTTTTACTGTACTTATTTTTACATTTAGTAGTACTTCAGGTTAAAGAGTGCTTGCTTTCTTTTTTGATAGCAACTCTACCATGTACCAAATGGACTGTCTTCCAGGAATTTCTCCCGTGGCATGGTGTATGGTGTAGTACACAGGACTGACAATAACCATAAGAAAGAAATGGTTGTTTATGGTTGGTCAGCAGACCAATTGAAAGAAGAGATGAATTACATAAAAGATGTGAGTTTATATAATCTTTTTTTAATGTAAAGATCTTTTCTTAAATGTCCTTTCCATTTGTTATCAGTGTAGACTGCATGAGTACACAGGATGGTTGTCCTGTCTGTTGACAGTAGGTATTGAGCTGGGGAAGGGTTCCCCCAACATTTAAAAATTTGAATCTCTCCTGCTTGAATGAAGGAGAAATGTCCTGTTCTGCTATGAGAGACTATAATAAACTTATATTTGCTGGTTGCAAAGGGAAGAAACCTAAGCACATGCTGACTAAAGTGATTCATTCCCACTTCCATTAGAGAAGTAAACTGCCAAAGAAACTGCACGCCTCCCCTGCAGGCCTTATAATCCCAAATCAAATTTGGAAAACCCTGTATAAGCAGCCAGTTAAAAGAATGACCGTAATGTCGCTGGGTTTGTGCTGGCTTCTGAACAAGGTGAAATTGTCCCCAAAAGTCCTGAATAAATGGACTAGCTTGAGAGGATTGCCTAATAAAAATGGTCTTCGTATGGATTTCTCTGCAGTTATTTAATGTGATGGTAATAAACCAACCTTTCTATAAACACTTTGTTAATAAATTCAGGTTGCAACAGCTCTCCTGAAACAAAAGCTTAGCTTCTGTGGCTTTGGTCAGCCTGGCCCCCCTACACATACAGGTAAAAGCACAATGGAATTTAATGAGCAATCCACACAGTTATACCTCCTGCCATTCACATGTGCATGTCAGGAAGTGTGATTGTAGGATTGATCATTAGATCCCTTTGTGCCTTATTGCTGATGTAGGTGGAGCCTGATCCTGGGCTTCCTCTGCACCAGCAAGAATCAAGCTCCCACGGTTTGTAGCCTCTTCAGTTGAGGGGCTTCCAGCCACGAGTGTGCGCCATGTACCACTGGAGCTGGGAGATCGCAGCTGCCATGATCTCCAGAGTTTGGGAGTGCATGAAACCCTCCGGCCTGGTGGATTGTGGCAGCCATGATCCCCCAGGCCTGGGGGTTTCACGTACCTCCAAGCCTTGGGAATTATGGTAGCCACAATTCCCCAGTCCTCGGGGTTTCATGCTGGACATCGTGTACCCCTGTGGCTGGGAGCCCTGTCAGTTGATGGGGCTTCCAGCTGCAGGGGGACCCTGCTACATGTGCAAACTAAAGCTTGATAGCAACCAGCTATAAAATTAGTACACACTTTGAGATCTAATTTTATATAGGTGGTTGGAGTTTTATTTGTCATGTGATAAGTACTTCGCATGTGTAGCTGGTTTTAAGGTAATTGTGCAATTAACTGTAAGTGCCTCTTGAGTTCTGTGCTTAAAGTCCAACAATTATTTTGGAGCCAAATTTTTCACTTGTTGATTTTTGACTCTCCAGGGTTTGTCAGTAGTCTCCCTAATTAGTACAGAGCAAGTAGTCTGCCTTTTTGTTCATTAACCTCTGTTGTCTGTGAAGGCAGTTTATGGAAGATGGCCAACAAATAGCATGGTGTAATGATTCAAGCACAAGAGAATAACATTGATAATAAAATGAAGAGGATCGCTGAGAGTTGGACTAATCTATCTGTACTTTGTTTATGGGTACAGCCTTTGCAGTCTCTTTTTTCCATAGTTACAGACTATTTTACTAGTATCAAGATTATTTGATTTCTTCTATCAAGTGGCTTCTTGTAATTGAAGGAACTTAAGGTATGTCTACATGGCACAACACAGTGCTATGAAGAGATGCCTAAGCTAGTTCTGAATGGTTGAACTTGGGTATCAGAAGGAAGATAGTCATGTTAGGGGTGCTCTTTATCCTGGGTTAATTTAGCCCTTTAGAGAAGCAGGGCATTTTAGTCCAGACAGCACCACACTAGCATGGCTTTACTGTTTCTGATACCTGAATAGTGCCAGATATAATCTGCACAACACTGCACAGGTCTCCAGATGGACTAGTTTATCTTCTTGAGAAGCAGGGTAAAATAGCTCAGCTTGGTGGTCCCTGCTGTTGGAAGTAGACTGCTTCCAGTACCCAGGCTATCTCATTTTAGAGTTATATCTAGTTTCTTTGCACCAAGCTGCAGTGTGCAGTGCAGACATACCCTTACTTTTCTCTAAATATTCTTGTTCACCATTGTTCTGTTCCTTTTTATATAATCATTTACACCAGTGCAAAGAGGGCCAGCCATTTAGGGGTGGCCATGTCCATGTTCAGAGTAGCTAAGGCCATTTTCTAAGAAATTATTCTGTAAAGTCCTCTGAAACATTGTACCTTTATGTGTATGTGTTGTCTTATGTGCATATACAAACGAGTCCCTCAGAGTACTGAAGGATTGTCTGTGGGAACCTTCAGGAAAAATAATTCTGTGGACACATTCATCCATCAAGGCCTGATGTGGCTTGACTGATCCACTCTAAAATTTTAATGAGGTCTTAATTCATTTCCAGAATAAGGCCTCTTTTAATTAGGAATAAGTCTGTCCACACACAGGTGTAATGTATTTTTAAGTAGTCCTTCTCAGATTCCTCTATTACCCTATGAATCTATGAAACCCTCATTTCAGTTGGATTAATTTTCTGACTCCCAATGAATATAAGATCTGAGATGCTCAGATCAGGGAAATATTCGAGGCATTGGAGATATGACTGGGCAAATGTTTGTTTAATAATGGTGATCACTGTGTGCAGTCCTTATTTTTTGGGATGCAGTGTTGTTTGGTTTTTAATTTGAATGATGCTGGTAACAAAGTTTGACTAATAAAGGTTTTAAATTTGCCTGCTAACAGGTGAGAGCAACTTTGGAAAAAGTGAGAGAGCACATGTATGGGGAGTATGATGAAATGAAACGGAAAATACAGCAACTTACCAACGAACTGACAGTAAGATCACATTTATTTGTAATTATGGTGCAATGAGGGATCCACACAAGATTTGCCCAAGAAATGTTATGGACTGCAGCATGAGTCAGAGGGGGGAAAAGTATTTTAACATTTCAGTTTTACTTTTCATGTCTCTATACTTCTGAATTTTTTTTTTCACTAGCAGGAAACAGACATTTTTCTATAGAAACATTAAAACCTGGTGTTTCTGTATGTAATGTATTACCTGAGATGCTGAGGGATTGTTGCATGATTCTTATGAGTTTCACTGCCCTCCATCATTGAATAGCAGCAGAGAAACTAGAGTTAGATTCCCCAAGGGTCCTGGTCCCATGACAGAGCTGGGTTACTCTATAAGCTCTGGGATCCATGTGGTAAGACTGCTCCAGAATTGTCTCTAGTGTCCTACTGGGGAGGCTACCAACAAATTGGGCAGGATGGTAACCCTGCTTGTGTTTTCATGGGAACCTTGATTTTTTTGGGGAGAAGTGAATTAATCTCTTTTAATGAATCTCTGTTTTCTGAAGAATCTGTTTTGGTCTAAAAATTCCTGACCAGCTCTAGTAGCATCTCCCAGATTTGCTTCCAAAACTAAATGAATGAAGGAAAAAAAATCCTTCTTCACCCTTTGTTGGACACCTTCCTCATACTTTTGTATGCCTTTAAAATATGTATGTGGGTTCCTTTTTCACTTACGTTTTCCCACAGGAAATAAAAGGGAACAGAATATAAGTTTAATCTCTTATCTTTGAATGCTTTTTCTACCCCAAATGTTGTCTTAAAGGCTAAACCGGATCCCACTGAAGCTACTGGGAGTTTTGCTTTTGATCTCAAAGAGATCAGGATATGGCTTAGGAGGTGTGTCTACATGCGACACTACATCGTTGTAGCAATGAGTTATTGCTACGGCGACATTTTGTTGCTAGGCACGAACCTTGACAGTGATGGTACTGTGCAGTAGCAGCTAAAAATAACTGTGCTTAAGCAAATACTAAATGATAGTGCAGTAACAATTGCACAGTCCAGTGCACGTATAGACACGCCCAAGAGGCAGAAGAAATTTCAAGGACATACCTCCTAGACTGAAGGCAACTGTGGCATAAAACATTTTAATCTCTGTGACCAGTGTTAGGGTATTCCACCTGCTGTATGCTAAGACTTTTTTTTTTTAAGTTAATGTTTACTGATAGATCCAGAAACCATAAATTTTATAGATATGAGTACAATAATGTCTTTCAGTTCTGTATGAGTCAAATGAACTGTATACAGTGTAACAAACGTATGATGGGTAAATGGATAAATGTGCATTCAGTGCCTCTCCAGTACCTCATTCCTCAGATTCCCCATAGCCAGACTGAGCTTTTTACCTCTAAGCACTCTTCTCTTCCTGTTGTTTGTTGCTCTTGACCTCCCAAGCATGATTTCAGTAATTCACACTCTTACAGTCTTGGTTTACATGCATACACACTCCTCTACAAAGTGCACTAGCTTCTGCTGATCTTCTGACCCAGTTTGTGTGTGGCTTGATTAATATATAGTAATTGGTAAAACGGGTGGGTAAAATACAGTCCGCGGGCTGGATCCAACGTGTCAGGCACTTTAATCCGGCTTGCAGCACCCCACAATGAATTGTGCCCTGCCCAGCCCCTTCCCCCTGTGAGG